AGCAAAAATGAAATCTGTATTGATATACTATGTCACTCTGCTCCAAAAGCGTCTCATTATGAAAATAAGCAAACAATCAAAATGTTGGTAAGGCTACATGTGCAAGAGCATCCATTCATATTTGGCAAAATGTAAATTAATCCAGTCACTATACTAAATAACTGTCTTACGATCTATTTGTTCCTAATTTGAGAATGTATAAGAGGAAATAAAATAAAAATACATCAGAGATACCAGCACACACTCAAGCACACACACACACACACAATACAGTATTATTCATAATATCTAGGTTACAGAGTCATCGTAGGCACCCATGGTGAAAGGTGAAATCTGGATTGCCTTGGAGACTCTAAGATGCAGGAGACGCCAGGGCTATGGGAAACCTTCTAAGGAGAGCTGCTAAGAGGAAGTGGAACCAGCACGCGGAAGAAGTGTGTTGCAGGCAACAACGCTGAAAGGAATTGTAGAGCTGAGGAGTGCTTTGGCGTCAGACATGGAGATGCAGAGTTTGAAGTTTGTCCAGCTGATATTCAGCTTTGATTTTATTTCTAGGATTTCCCTTCCCTACTTTTTGGAACAGCATTGTGTACTCTGTTCCATTATATGTTGGAAGTATGTGGTCTTTAGATTTTGAATTTATAGGGAATTTCACTTAAGAGATTGTAAGATTCTCAGAAGGGACTTTGAAGTTTGAACTTTTAAACATAATAGACTCCGAGGACTTTTGAAGTTGGAATTGAGTGCATTTTTGAATTATGATATGGCTGCAATCAATTGGGACTAGGGACTGGAGTGTGATGGTTTTAAAAAAAGGGGTCCCCAAGGGAGTGGACCTAATAGCAAGTGTAGTTTTGTTGGAGTAGGTGTGGCCTTGCTGGAGGAAGTGTGTCATTTTGGTGGTAGGTTTTGAGGTCTCATATATTCTCAAGTTATGTCGAGTGTCACAGATCAAATCCTGCTGTTTGCAAATTAGGATGTAGGACACTTGCCTACTTCTCCAGAGCCATGTCTGCCTGCACACCATCATGTCATGCCATGTTAAAAAGGACTAAACCTATGAAAATCAGTATTTTTCCTTTACAAGTTTGCTGTGGCCATGGTTTCTCTTTACAGCAATATAAATCCTAACTAAGATATTAAGTGATTTGTTAAACAACTGTCAATATTTCTAGCAACAGATAGCTTAAATTTCCCTTTGTGTTAAATCTCTCTTATACTTTATTCCTTTTATTCTGTATTATTTCACTCCATGCCATTGCCACTAGTATTTACGAATTCAATATTTGTAACTACATGGTGATGTATGTTTCAAGTATGTTCACATCTATTTCTATACCTGTCACTGAGAATTTTTGGAAACGTGTGTAGCTGAAGGAAGGAATTAAGGACAAAACAGCAGAGCTCCATCTAATCCTACAAGGAAATCTCTTCAGATCCTGAGAGTGTTGTATGTCTTAAAACCTCTCTGAGATAAATGGTTTTCAGTTGTCTACAGCTTATGTTTTGTAAGCAGTAAGTGTCTAGAAAGCCTTCCGTCTCCTTGCTCCCCTTCATCTTTTAATAACTGACATGTTGTGATCTGTTCTAGAATTCTTGATTTTTCCTTTCATCTTCTTTCTCAATCTTAATAGCATTTAGCTGGAATTTTGTATAATTTCTCTTGCCTGCTTGAAGTAATGCTTCGACTTTTATTTTCAAACAAGAGTAGGATTTTGTTTGAAATTTCCTTTCTGTGGGTTGAAACAAGCTAAATTAGCTCTTCTCTCAGCTCAGCTTTTAATCTCTACAATGAAAACACTTTCTGATATTGTTCTTTTGATAATACTCTGTTTCAATTTTAATGAAATGACTTTTGGTAGTGATGAATTATTTATTGATAGAGACATTGTGAGTTTTGTTTTTAATATTGAACCGTGAGCTAATAGTTTAGTTTATAAAACATCACACTGTGTTTTTTTCCCAAAGTGAAATAATGTCATTTATGTATTGGTTAGTTTTCTACTGCTGTGATAAAACACCATGACCAGGGCAACTTATAGAAGGAAGGATTTTTCTGGGTGTCTCTTTCCAGAAGAATAAAATCTACCTCCACCATTAGAGGGAAGCCTGGCAGGAAGTGCCTGGTACTGAAACAGGAACTGTTCACATCCTGAACTGCAATAACAAAAGAAAGAGTAAAGTGCTGATGTGGGGAGGCTTTGGAAACCTCCAAAATCACCCCCAGTGACACATCCCCTTCAGCAAGGCTGTAGATCCTAAGCTTTATAAAACAGTGCCACCAACAATTCATGCTGCCATCTATAGCATCAGGCAAGGTCTGAAGCCTCTGCAGCTGTGCTGTGAGGAGATCAAACCTGTTATCTGTAGTGTGACCTGAGGGACATCTGACATTTGCTTTTTTCTCTAAGCTTTTCGTTGCTTGGTGTTTTATGAGCCTTTGTAAGCAAGCTTGCACTTAGAGCCACAGACTCTCTGTGTAGCTTTGCTAATATCATTTCAAGGATAGGGGATTCTCATAAGCTTGTTTGTACTTGTGGTCATGTGCTAATGCTCCTGGAATATATAGGAGGTCTAGTAGTATAGTCAGATCAGTATCAGGAGTACTTAATTCTCTATGTGTCTTTGTACATTTTTTCTTTATTGTGTTTACTGTAGAAGAATAGATTTTTAAGGAAAAATACTAGAAGATCAAATATTTTAAACAAGTGTCTTATTTTCAGTGTCCACTCAGTGCTAGATAAAAACCTGAATAAAATCCAATCTGGTTTGTTTCCCTTCAATATTACATTTATAATATTTTTATATAGAGAGTAGTGACCTGACATCATCACAGAGACTGATTATGTGCCCTTTCAACATTTACTTCTATATGCATGAGGGTGAGACTCGAAAATAGATGTTCTCTGTGAAAGTGAAGGAAGGCCATTGGCAATGTGGCAGGTAAGAAGCTGTAAAAATAGAATGACGAGTCAGGTACACTTTCCAAGTGTAAACTGCCAACGAGCTGTCAACTGCCAACAGGCATTACAGCTCCATTCTAAGAAGGCCTCACATCTGAAGTGTTTAAACATCTCAAACTTCACTGAGACATCAGGATATGCTGTTTCTCTGGTTGTCACTCTCACCCACTTCGTGCTATCTTAAAATAAATAAAGACATATTCTTGATCTGCGTAATATTCTCTCAAAATGTACATATGAGAAAGAAAGTCACAAAGAAGCAGAGAGAGAGACAGAAAGACAGACAAAAAGACACGGAGAAACAGAAAAAGACAGACACACAGCAAGACAGAGGAGGCTCCCTAGAATATTGCCGCATGTTATATAACTGTATGCATTATATTTTGGTTAATAATTTTATGCAGTTTTTCAAATTTTATTCTCAAATTTATTCATATTTCTTGCTGTGTGCTATTTGGTTCCTGATATCTTCAGCTTAATACAGTCTGTGTATACTAAGCACATGTTTGTGATTTGAACTAATTCTAAGCTTAATAATGGAAAATAATGAATTTAGTTTCAATGATAATAAAAATATTTCCTTAAAACTTATTTCTTTAAAGAGGCCATTTTACAAGCAGAGAAGAAATCTCATCTATAAATGGCCTCTCTAATGTGTCTACCAGTGTATTTGAAAAGTGTCTTGATTTTGACTTTTAATTGTTCTGTTATGATTAAAACTTCATGAAATTTCTTCGACTTTTAAACATGGGATCGAGGGGTGGGGGAGGGTTAATTCTGTGTTCCTGGTCAAGGGTTATTCATGTTTGGCTCCAAGTAAACTATCTGTCCTATCCTTTGAAGTAAAAAAGAAAATATTTCCTTAGATTTCCAAATTCTTGCCATTTCTTTTTCACCTTCATATTTTTCTTAATTCTTTTAATCTTTTATTACTTTGCCTCGGGGAACAGCTACATGGATATTTATTCACTATAGTAGAATAAGCAAATTTAGGAAGATTTAACAAAGCTCTTTTTCTTTCTCCATTAAAAACTGGCTGAAGTGACTTATTTGAAAACCAGTCTATTGGTTTTCTTTGTAACTAAGTAGAATGAAAACTCATGAACTTTTGCCAAACATCTGGTGAGTAAAGATGTTCCCAAGAAGAAGGTGTTTCTGTCACTACAGAAATGATGAGTAGAAGTAATAGCATCTGCTATTTAAAGGTTGCAGAACATTGGTTTCCTTTGTAGTTCTAGTACAAAGACATTATGGCGTTAAATAATTGGGAATTTTGAAGCTTTTCCTCAACCACAAGTTCTGATTATTCATAGGGCTCTTTGATTTTTCTACAGTACATTCTTTAACGTAGTAAAGAATATATTGTACTATTGTTCAGTCCCTCTATTTGATACAGCCTTTTAAATTCCATAAGTTTCATAACTACTCAAAGTAATAATGTTATAAAGAAGTTGAAAAAGAAAAAGTAAGCTTTAAATGAAAAAATAGTTTAACCAGGTATAACAAAGAATTAACAAAACATCATGATGTACCTTTTCAAATGTTTGGGTGTTAGAATTTTTAAACATGTACTTAGGAGTCCTAAGCGAGTCATTTTTTCTGTTTATCAGTAACAAGGAATAATGAACTCTGTTGTCCTTGTGTTTAATTAACTTTTTCATAATGACAGAGCTTTATAGAGAATAAGATCTTCCTTCTAGTGTCATCCACGATAGCTAAAGGCCTTTATTTTCTTCTTCCATAGTATTTATAATGAGTGCAATGCCTTCTTTGATGCATATAGACACCTGTTTCCCACAAACATAAATTCTTAGATATTCTCCAGTGATTGTTTCATATACATTAGCATTTGGTTAAACACATGATCTGTTTATCTTTAAAATAGTGGTCCAAGGGAACTTGGAGAGAAAGTGTGTAGAGGAAGAGTTCATAAGAGTTAAAGCAAATGTGGGGGTGAATATAATCAGAGTACATTAAAAGCACTCATGAAGTTCCTAAATAATTAACTAAAATAAGTTTTAAAAGACCTCATTATACATGCTTTCTTTGGCAACATATATTCTAAAATGTAAATAATGCAGAGAAGATTAGTCTGGCCTTATGTAAGGATAACTCACAAATTCACAAAGTATTTTATGTTTTTATGTCAGCCTATAAACTACATATATAGTTTAATGGAAAGTCCCCATTTGTGCCAATAATGCTGATAATACTCTAAGAATTTAGACTGCCTAACAAAAAAATCCCAACACCAATCATGAGAGGCCATCTTTCAAGTTATTGGTCAGGGTTGGGTAAAAGATTACGGAAATAATACAGGCTCTTTCTATTGCCCTTGAATGTCCTGAGATGTGAAATCTAAGTCCCTATTCCTCAAGATTCCATGCTCTTCAAACACAGAGTTCATAGTCATCTGAGATAGAAATGAACTGAAAGTCTTCCTAAAGAGGGCCTTTCATAGTATCTGAAGTCACCAGACAATCTTCCAAAGTAGGAAGATCAAAATTCCTACCCAGCTATGATGGCTCTTGTGACTGTGAAGCAAAGACCAGTATGACACGATACTTTTAAGGATAGGTAATCAACAGTTCTCTAATAAGATTTAAGACCAATTTAAAATGAGGAAAAGCAAGTCTATTATAAGAAATATAGACAAATTCTCAGGGCTAGTGAAGTCATGAATCTTGGAGTAGAACCTACAACCACCACTTTACTAAACCAGTAAAATCCTCAACTCCATTCTAAGTATGCATCCTTATACCCACACATTGGTGTAGCTTAAATCCCCCTTAAGTAAACTTCTCATTGCAACAGACAAAAACTAGTAGAGGATACCATAATCAATAAAATTACACAGTCGTGAGGCTCAGTCCCAAAATATTTATCTACAACACAACTTGACATTCAAGACTCAGAGAACATTGTCGAAGAATTATAAGAGCAAGAGGCCAAGGAAATCTTTGAAATTGCATCATCTAGAATTACAAAAGTTAAATCAATAAAGTCTCACCAACAGAATTGCTTAAGCTTGAGTTGGACAAGGACACGAACAAAATACATGATACTGTAAATGAGAGAAACTCAAGGAAATTTCAGTTCTAAATAAAGAACTACAGGGAATTAAAGAATACTGAGAGCAGGAAAGCACTGAAATTAGTGATTCATTACCAACTGGTCAGCTATTAAAAACATAAAAATAAGTAACATACAGAATAATCAACTTTTATTAACATATATACATATACACATGTATAGATATAGATTAGATGTAGATATCAAAAATTAACTGAAAAAAGAACACGAATTTGAAAGAGAACAAGGAGGAAAAGGTGTAATTGGAGGATTGGAGATGACAACAAATGAAAAGGGGAAATTATGTTATATTATAGCCTCACAGAAAAGAAACGATCCACAATATATATAAGAATCCTCATTACCTCCTATAGCATACTCCAGTACTGGCCACTTTTACCTCAGTTGTTGCAATTCCACTGTTCGAGACCTTGTTAGGAAATGCCAGGTGGAGGAAGTAAGTTTTAAAATAGAGACATGAATTGACAAATAAAGGCTTTAATTTGCTAGAGGGAAAAGTTAGAATTGTATTATTCATTGTCTTTGAATTGATCCTCTCATGTCCATGTTTTAAGGGTGTATTGTAGGTGATGGAACTTTGAAAATGATTGCTGGATAAAGATTACGTATTTGATTCCAGTTTCTATGATGTAAGCAAATTTATTCTGCCTCCTGATCCCCATTGCTTGTAGTTATAATGGGCTTCTCTACAACAAACTCAAACAATAAGGTCAAAAGACTATGAACTATAACCCTTGAAACTTGAAAACAAAGATTAAAATTCCCTTCTTTCAAGTTAGTAATTTTAGATATTTCATCACAGCAACATTAAACTTATTAACCTATAGTTCTCAATGGTATGAGAAAAGACTATGTAATATATAGTATATGTGTAAAATTGCTTAATTATATGTATGTATATATTTATATATGTTTAATGATGTCAAAATTGCATGCCACTAAATTTTCTTAAAATTTCCTTTGCTTTGTAATGGTTTATGAACAACAATGTCAGGCTACATATAGAAGTAGAAATCTCTGTATGGGCTACAGTTTCTAGGGTATACAAAATAGAGTTAAGCTAACACACGTACACAGATTCTTACATTATAATTTTAATATCTTACTTTGTGTATGTTGTTTGGTTGCCTGATGAATGTGTATCAAGCACATGCTTGTTATCTTTGGGAGCCGGAAGACAGCACTGAGTTTCTCAGAACTGTAATTACAGTTGGCATTGTAAACTGGGAATTGAACCCAAATCTTCTGAAAGAGCAGCCAGTTTTCTCAGCCACTAAATTACCTCTCCAGCTACCGTTACATAGATATTTAGTACTTCAATATCAGTGTTCCTTCATAATATCAAATTTATTAAATACTCTTCACTAACACAGATAGACAGATAACTTCAGATAGACAGCTGGTCTGCTTGTGTGTTTGTATGTGTGTATGTATGTGTGACGTGGGATTCCCCTCGGTATGCTGTAAATACCATTGGTGAAGAAAGAAACTGTCTTGGCCTGAGATAGGGCAAAAGAATAGTAGAATGCAGGGAGAACTAAATTCTGGGAGAAAGGAGGCAGAGTCTGGGAGAAGCCATGTAGCTCTGCCAGAGACAGACGCCAGAACTTCAGCTGGTAAGCTACAGCTACGTGGTAATAGACAGATTAACAGAAATGGGTTAAATTAATATGAACAATTAGCCAATAAGAATCTAGAGCTATTGGGTCAAGCAGTGTTTTAAATAAAATAGTTTCTGTATGATTATTTCGGGGCTAAGCGGCTGAGAACCAACAAGTGACTTCCTCTAACATGTGTGTGTGTGTGTGTGTGTGTGTGTGTGTGTGTGTGTATGTGTGTATGTTGTGTGTGTAGCAGTCTAATTTGGACTTTGTTTTGCTAAGAAAACTAGACATCCTGTGGGTATCATGAGGTCTGTAAAAAGATACAGAAGAAGAAACCACAGGTAACTCTGATTTTATGGATGAAGTTCCATGGCTATAAATAGGAGACAACTAGACAAAGATCAACGTACAGTAATCAGTTGCTTCTAGCTTAGGAACTAGTTCTCAGATTAAGAAAAACTAGTAGCTACAGGAACTTGACATGGGAAAAAATTCATAACATTTTATTACAAAGTGTCCTGAGAAAATATATCTTGATTGATATATTTGCATACTCTCCTTCATTTCTTGTCCCTCAATCTTAAGATGAATATAACAATAGATAAAATTACCAAAATGAAGTCTTTCAAGTAATTTCTGATAGAAACATTCATAACAACAAGGAATAGATAACAAAACAGAAAGCAACAAAGTCTAAAGCAAAAGAAAAATAGAAATGCCAAAACAGAGCAAGATTTTAAGTTCTCGGTGTTCCTGGTTAATATACTTTGGTATTTATCACACATTCAAATGACAGTATAATACCGATAAGAAATAAATTTATTTAAAATTCAGATTTGCATAACATCAACTATAGACTTAAAAGAAATCAATATCAAGCAATGAAGTATAAAGCTATTTTCATTTCAAAGACTAAAATAACAATAAAATTTGGTCAATTAATGGGATACATCAAAGATCATCTGTTCTCAACTGATATGGTCTTTGATAGAATAATATGAATGTACTATTGGTATTTAAATAAAAATAAATATAAAATATATTTTATTTTGGTATGAAAGGATTAAAAATTCAGAAGAAGGGGTTATTAGCATAACTAATAGGTTTTGTTAAATTGGAAACTTAATGACTGAACTTGAAAAATATGAGCAAGTGTAAATGTTTTATGCAAACAAATACAGTGAACCTCCTGGGAGGAAATCTAGGAGATTTATGAACTCTACAAATAAAGATATGTATAAAAATACCACAATATTTTTAAAATAATTTAAGTGTTCTGAAAGTCCCACTACAAATAGAGAAGCACAAAGTTTTTTTCTTAGATCAGTCACAAATACAGCTACAAATTCAATGTAATCTCAAAATATTTCAATAATTTGATTCTACTACATGTACTGGCTTTGTGGGAGCCTAGTTTGTTCGAATGCACACCTTCCTAGGCCAGGATGGAGGGGGGAGAACTTTGGACTTCCCACAGGGCAGGGCTCCCTTACTTCTCTTAGGACTGGAGAGGGAGGGGAGGGGGAGTGAGAGGGAATTGGGACGAGGGAAGGAGGAGGGAATTTTTAATAAATAGATAAGTTTTTTTAAAAAAATTTCAATAATTTTAGAGGTTTTAGCCAATAATGTTTAAACATGAGCCTTAAAGTTTATATGGGAGTAATCACAAGTGAGAATTGTCAATGAAATCAAAATACAAGAGAAATGAGAACGTGATGGTAGTAACTATTAACATGGCAACAAAAATAAGCACAATCGGTTACAAAATCCTGGCAAAGTTCACAAAAATAATCAAAGTTCAGAGCTTGAATAATATAATATAACAGAGGTTAAAAGAAAATCAAAGGAGAGAAATCTCTTCCAATCTCCTCCAGTCCCCTTACATCTACATATGAAAACTAACATCCACATATAACCCAATAATTAAAAAGCACAAAGAAAGATACTATTTAAATCTTTTAAAACAAAATTTGCAATTAAATACTACACTTGATCTTAGTCAAAATGTCAAACTCTGATCCATTTTGAGGTTTGAAGAAAAAAGATTTCAAAATAATAACAAACACTAAAATCTGTAAGGATAATTGATGGACATTAAAAGTAATTGTAGGTCTAAAAACATAATCATAGCAAGAACAATAATTGTTTATCACTAGTTAATTAGAGTTGTTTATCCTGTAATAAAAAGAGTGAAATTTTAGAAGGGTGTTATTAGATTTTGTTGTTGTGTGGATAGCATAGAATATGCTTAAACCTACCTGCTTCGAGTAGCCTTATGAACAACTAGCTATATGGCATCTTCTCTTGCATGTGTGACCTACAATTGACTTCGACATTCTCTTGTGAGGTATGTATGTATTGAGACTTAACATCTTCAATGCATGTAGGCATTTAAAGGTTTAGAATTATATAGATTTAAGCTTTTTTATACATATGCTAGGCAAAT